TATATCCCCCCATCCCCCCGGGATCTACGCCTATGATAATTGTCACCAAATTAATCATCATCATCATCATTGTTGTCATCAACTACAACAGTATCATTATCGTCAACATTACCATCACATTTTTGGCCTGTTGCTGTATTATTTTAACATTAATAGAAGTATTTTGGTGTCAAGGGTGCCCCACAAAATAGTTATGCTTCATTGAAATATTCAATAAATTTAAGCAAAACAATTTCATATTTATGTAAACATTTTCCGACATTTTCTGGCAAATACCTTTGAGGCACATAACATACACAAACTTTTCTTTAATTGCAGGCATACGAACGAACGTATTTGATCCTTGCGGCATATACCGACTTGGAATCTAGTGGTGACGACTTAATGGTAGAAACAGAATTCTGGAGGTTTGAGGGCAAACATTTTGTAAAAAAATTAAAGAAATTACAATGCAGGAGTGACGGGTGGGATAGTTTTGTTGTGGACAACCAAGTATATGTTATCGAAGGAAATCTTTATGGACCGCCTTGTACCACATCAAACGCAGGCGGAAACCTTAACTTATATAAATGGATATAGGCCTAGCATAATACTGTCTGTCATGAGCTCCACATTTGACTTGCATCATTTGTATATTTCAGTAGGTTATTAACTTACAAATAAATATTCCAATGAGAGAAAGAAATCCCTGTCAATTATCGGAGAGTTACATAAAACCTTTCCTGTATTCTTTTGCATAAACTGGCTGGTAATTCCGTTAATGTTTTTGGAGTAAAATACCTGTAAATCAATGAAAACATTTCTTTTTATGCTCTGGTTTCTATACAATCGCTACGCGCTATCGGCGACAGTCATCAGCGACTCTGATTGGTTGGTCGAATCGGAAAGATTTCCCGATTGTGTCGGGACAGCTACACAGTAACTATTGGAGTGAAAACGCTAGCGACAGTGTAGCGATTTCATGGAAACAAAACTTTAATAATTGTTAATCCTTTTAACTGAGATATTGAAAGTTTTAATTGAATTTGGAAGGTTTTTTTTCCCTATTTTTTCTGCTTTATAATTATATTATAATGTGAGTTTGTCTTATATAATTGTCAAAGTCTGGTTTAGTTGTGTTATAGTGAAGCTAGGTTTTATTAATGCAAATAAGCCAATTCGTGGTTTGGACAGCGCATGCGCGTGTGCCATGGTATCCAAGGTCAATCGAACCTATGTTGTATGTATGTTTGTTTATGTTAATTGGCCTTGATACGAGCATGCGCAGTTCAAACTACGAATTGGATTATACAACAAGCTAGATTTGACACCATGAACTAAGCAACAAAATGAGAGAAGACATCTTGTGGGGTTTTAGCAAAGAATATAAAATTTTCAAAAATCAACTTTACATTTAGGCCTAAATGAGAAGTGTACCAATTTAGAATTGGTAAAAGACAATTCTATGAAAAGATTCTGACTTAACATTTTGTGTGCGCTCGTGACGTATTACGTTCTCAACTAGTTTGTGCTGAGGTCGCAAGTGCAGTAGCCAGTGTAACGGATGGGATTAAGATGACTGCAAGATGAGTTCATATTAGGCCTATTACTAAACTTGTACAACGTCTTTAAATTTAATGATTAGATAGTACAGATACATATAATTTAATTTATTTTATTTTGTGATCATTATGTTTGCTCGTAACAACCATTGTACAAATATGGGTATATATGACGTAAAAAATTGTATTAATGTAAATATAAATTACAAAACCTTACTCTCTTTAATCAGAGTATGAACTACATGTTAATATAAGTATAACTGCTAGCAATCGTGTTGGGCTACTTTATTACAATCTGCTAGATATTATTAGTTATTTTATAGCTTTTAGTTACGGCGGGGCCTGCACACACTAATAATCAACAATCTAACGTACAGTTACCCTTAAAATAACAACACTTGACCAATCGGTGATTTCACTCTTTTTCATATCTCTTAAATTTCCTTCCTTTTTCTTTCATTCATTTCTTTCTTTAACATATATACATCAATAAAAATCATATTTTCATTTGCATTATTAGTAGACAATTATTATTTGATAAACTTTCGAGAATACATGTCAACCATTCGTATGTACACACACATATTTGTATGAAACAAAGTGTCTCTGGCGTGATTCGAACCTGCAAACTTTAGCTTCCAAGGCGAGTATTGTACCCATTAGACCACAGAGACCTTAGGATATCGTGCAGTTCTAACCCACAGGCACCTTCTTTCATACAACTGACTAAAACGCTTACACACAGTGGAGCTGTGGTTAAGCTAGAAAAGCTTATAGGTCGCAGCTGGGAAATCATAGTAAATAATATTCAAATCAAGTTGCTGCGTTGCACCGTGAATATATAAACAAACAGATAAATAATAATAACATTTCTCAAATAGGAAGATGCTCATCAACGAAAAGTTCCTTTCATTTCCGTTGTAAGAAAAAAGTGTCTCTGGCGGGATTCGAACCTGCAACCTCTCGCTGTCAAGGCGGGTATCATACCCATCAAACTACAGAGACCTATAGGATATCGTGCAGTTATAATATATATATATATATAATAATAATATAATATAATTATATAAATATATAATATATAAATATATTTCAAATATATATATACATTCAAATCAAGTTGCTGCTTAGCACTGAGAACACAATGTATAAATCAGATAATAATACAGTGCTCAAATATATAGTAACATGATGTTATAGAGTGTATCAAACATAGTTCATCAACGAAAGTTCCATATTATAGTTGTATGAAATGGTGGGAATCGAACCCGCAATCTCTTGTTATCTCGGCGACCGTACCACAGAGGCCCCTACGATAATATTACGGATCTAAGAACACTGGTCTCTCTCCCTTCATACAACTTTTGGGCTCGCACACATAGTGGAGCTAATTTTTAAGCTACGTAATAGCTTATAGGTAGCCGTTGACAAGTTGCTGCTTAAAAACATATCACACACGTACATATACATAATACATACTGTACACACACACACACACACATATATATGTATATGTTATGTATATATATATGTATATGTATATATATATATGTATATGTATATATATATGTATATGTATATATAAGTGCTTAGAAGTTTATAGGAGTGAACAATGCAATGCAATTACATCGAGGTAGGTTTAAGGTTAGGGTTAAGCTAGCCAGCTCCGCCAATCACACAATCAGCACATCGGATTTGCGTAAAATCGTTGGAACAATAATAACAACTTTATCTTCTATACAAAACTTCACCGATTAAAAATACAGGGAAAAAAAGCATTAACACGTCAATATACAAATACATAATTAATATAAATCTGTGTTTGTGAAACATACATAATATAACTATGTTTGATAACTTTCGGGGAAGAATGTCGTTATTTGGGGAAAACGTACGGTAGTTATTTATGTTTTTGGCTTGTTTTTTTATTTGTTTGCTTATTTCTTTAATTTTTTTTTGTTGGCTTGTCCTACTACTATAGAAAAGCCGTTGTTTTTGTTCTGTTTTTGTTTTTGTTTTTTTAAATATTTTTTGGGGGGCTTTTCCCCCTACTGTGGTAAAGCCATTGTTTTTGTTGTCACGTTTCCACCCTGTAGCAAAACGGAAATTTTGTTTTTCTTCCTCAAACCAGTTTCTATTTTTCTGCCTGGCACTTTGGTGACATTCCGTGCTTAGATCTTTAAACTTCTTCCAAGCAAAGCCCAAGTGCCTGTATACTTTTGTCACGCAATTATTATTAATATAAACTTTGATATTGATAAACTGGCAATTTAACTATTATGGCAACACAATCAAATGCAAATACGAACTTTGCCCTCAACCAGTTGCCAAGTTAGTTGTTGCGACAGAATACATAGTCTAAAATCTAACGGCCTTCTCAAAGTTGGGTTCTTGTGTAATTGTTAGATACACAATGAATGCATTATAGTATCCCAAATAGTAGAGCCAATTGTTTAATCATTTTTTAAAGCTTCAAACATCAGTTCTAAAATCATGCCATGTTTTGTTTAACAAACAGATACAGATAGTTGTTTTTCTTATTTGTATTTTCGATTACTTTTAATTTTATTTGAACGAAAATTGTGATTCCCTTTCCTTAACTTTGCAAATTAATCCTATACCTGAACAGACTAATTATTATGTTATTTTTTCATTTTCTTTATAATTTCTTTTGTTTTTTATCTTTCCTTTATTTTTTCCTTTATCTTGTTTAATTTCACATTTTTTCTGTTACTTTAATTCCTTTTTCCCTTTTTAATTCTGTCTTCTTTCTTGTTCTTTTCTGTTTCTTTGCTTTATCTTTTCATTCTTCATTTTACTTTCATTGTTTTTCTTTCCTTTTTCTTTTTATTCTGTAAATTTACAATATAGGTACTCTGATTTGACTCTCATTTGATTGGTTTTCTAGACGATAAAATAAATCATCTGTAATCAATGACTAAATAGATTCATAAACATTAAAAACATTATGTATAGGCCTAAATATTGTTTTTAATACCTAAACGTTTGAAAACTTCTAACATCCAATGTTAATTAGACCAAAATGTTTTCAGGCGGTGTTGTGTCGTAAAGCACTCACAGAAAGTGGAGATGATTCGTCATACAACGCAGTGTGTGAACTGCTAAAATCCACTGCAAGTCACGGCCACTTATTTCCCAAGCTTTTTAACGCTTTTCAAGTTGTAATCAAGTTAAGTTATCACATCTGCAAGCATTAGAATAATTGCGAGAAACAGGACAACAATAATGTCATCAACTTCTGAAAAACTATGACCTTAGTACTTGAAAGTGAACAGGTATTCCGGATACAATTGGTCTTTGTTAAAGACAGTGTATGCAGAAGGATCACTAACTGAGTCGCAAGTTGCTGAACAATCGTTTTTTGCACATGGTTTGTATTTAGAATATTCTTCAACTTTATTTATCAATACTCGAACACGAAATAGTTTGTGTAGTCCAGAATGAACTGTTTCCCTCATACACGCAACAATATTAGGCCTACTGGTGAAACTTACAGGGGCAGTTGTCGGGTGCTTACTAACGTCAAAATTTTGTTGACAAATCGTAGAGATAGCATGCGATGAGGTTCCGTACCATAAAATCAATTCTGTAACAACATTTTTTCCCTCAATTTCATCACTCATTTGATTACGTTTTCTAGACGATAAAATAAATCATCTTTAATCAATGATTAAATATTCATAAACATTAAAAATATTATATATAGGCCTAAATATTTTTTAGTACCTAAAGGTTTGAAAACTTCCAACATCCAATGTTAATTAGACCAAAATGTTTCCTAGATATTTTCAAAAAATTAATAAATAAATAAATTGAGTAGGCCTACATACTTATAAAAGTCCTCCCAGAGTTCAAAATTGTGAATTCTTTGAATTTCCAAATCTCGAACTTTCTTCGGGGACACCGCAGTCAGCTCATTTGAGATCAGATCGTACTCGTCACTCCCTTGTTTAACTTCAACCAGGCAGAAATCCTTAGACTCATCAAGATCGTCAAAATAGTAACTCCATATTTTTGGGAACACGATCAGAGGGTTTTTAATCATATGTTGGTTTGTCATCGCCTTCAGAGTTCGCCTAAAGAACATGCATAAATCAGTAAATGTGTATATTGTTCTAACAACTTTACATAAATCCGAGGTGATTATCAGTGGAGTTGGCTTTACCCAAATCTTAAACTTCAGTTTTGCTATCTTAATGCTACGGCATTTGCAAGAATATCAATAGTGTTTTCTACACATTGGGCTCCACATATTGTTCAAACTTAGTCGATATTGAAATACAATGCAAGTTATTTACAGTATTATTTTGAAATCGATTAGTTCATATTATAACACACCTAAATAGACCAGTCATTTGATTGGTTGATTTCATACCACATGACGGATTGTGCCCATTTCATCGCTCACCGTTGAAATTTTGTTCCATTGTGGTTTTTTCCCCATCCGAATCGTCCATTGCACGTTGCCTAGGATAGGCCTACGATGACTTTTTTTTCGAAAGGTTAAATCCAGAAATGACATTACGGCCCCTATAATCCTTTCTTTTTTTGGTTTTGACTCTCAAGCGGTGGTTCGTATAGCTCAGCTTGTCTAAAGCTAATTTTCCATTAGGCGAATTTATTCGCGCGAATCAAAGCGTCGGTTCACTTCCTGAGCCCGATAAGTTTTGTATTCGTACAATGGAAAGAATATTTTCATTCGCTGAAAGATTGACTGGATTTATTCGGTGTAAACACCAAGGATAGCCCACAAAAATCTAGAATAAGACTTATTATTTCCAGTGGGGTGGGGCCCTTCTTGTGGTGATATTCTTCCCATTGCAGACATAAACATTGATTATATTTTCTATAATAGCAATAGGGCCAGGTAGTCCACGACCTCAGCCTCACCATGGTTGGGGCTGGGGTGAGCAAAATTTAAGAACAGGCCCCTCTAGATGCTTGGAAATGGCACTCTCAGATTGTAAAAATGTTTTTTCAAAGCAATGTTCCTCAATTATTGACTTCCTCCCGACGAGAGCTATGCCCCCTCTCTAGACACACTTCCCTCACAGGCAAAGTCCTAAACAAGGACCTATAGTCTATGTATATGGTACTGAGAGTCGCAAAGCAAATTATGATTATGGTACCTCTATATGCCCGGAAATAACACTCATTCAGACTTAAAATTTGAATATTTCATCTTCATTTAAACAAAATTTTGACAAACGTAGGGGAACTGGCCGGCTGCGCATCCTAACCCCATTAGATTAATATGATGTCCTACAATCGATGTCAGAGACACATTATGCTGTTCTGTATCAACAAAGCCCTTTTAGATTAGTGTGATATAGAGTGAGGACCATACTGGACTGGACCCTATGGGTAGGGGCACCGAAGGGGCCCGTAAGGCCATGACCACCACACAAGAGCGCGTCATGGCGTTACGCCACTGAGCATGGATAGCTGTTCTATGGCTGGGTACTCTATATTCCATAATAATGGCTAAAAAAACTCAGTTTTAGGTCTTCATCTTTTGGCCTTTTTTACATCCTGATTTACGAAATAGTTGGAAAAAAATATTGCGTTGTGTTCATCGTCAAACAATATAAAATTCAAAATTAGTGAGTACAATAATCAAGCTCTCTTTCGCCCACTGCTGGATCCGCCACTGAGCTCATGGGCACACTTCATTCATTCCCTCTTTCCCCACTTTAACTCTTCTGAATGTTTTTGAATCACGGTGAGGTTGACAGGGTCGACATGGCGTGACACACAACCATTTTGAAGAAACTGGTAATGCACCAGGCCAAGACTATGTTCAATAAATATGCTGGGCTAGTGTCAGCCGACACAATGCACCCCAGACTTTTACACCAGTTTTTTTTGTTTTTTTCTGGAAAATTGTAAAAACTTAGGCATACATTTGCTTATTTGTTAGTTAGAACAAACATCTGTAAGTAAACTATTACTGTATATCATTTTTTTTATCTGTATTGTACATTAAATCACTAGAGCCCGTTCGCTGCATTAGTGATTATAGAATTCAAGACACACAAGTATGCTGAACAGAAATAAGCATTCGTAAGGTCCTTTTCACTTACTTTTTCGCTTGCCAATTCTCTTTGTAAATATTAATGTCACTAATTGTTACCATTTTTCGAGGGCGTCGGCGTACATCACGCTTTTTACCATGCACTTTGTTCGTTTGCTTCATTTCCTGAAAACTGAGTTTGTATGTATGATGGACTGATGTACTGAAGTGTACAACTGCTTCACCTTGACCAGACAGGTAATATTGATACAATTCCTCCAGCTCATCACTATCTTTGTCCGATTGCATCGCATCCCGTCCCTGTAAGACAAATTAAACAACAATGTTAACTCAAGCCATTTTATACGCTAGACGATTAGATAAAAAAGTTCCGTTTTGCTTGCACAAAACGAAGGATGCCATGTCTACCAGGAATAAATATCTAAACGTGGCATTTGAAGACTTGGCCACTATGCAACTTTTTCTGGTAAACACAACATGTAATACCAACTCGTAAAGCATATATTCTCAAAGGTAGCCTAGTAATTACTAGTGTGAATGTAATGTACCTCGTGTTTTATGTTAAGTAGTAACAGTATTCCCTTAAGTAAGTTTGACTGCAAGGACCAAAAATCCAACTTTATTCTGTCTCTTTATTACAGCATTATTATCCCAGTTTTTTTTTTATCTTTGGGGAAGTAATATCCAAATCTGTAAACAATCAATAACTCTTAAGAAGATAACATACAATTTAGTGACGTGATTGTATATATCTCTTGACTTTTGACCAGATATGCACAATCGAAATAATTAAATGGCATTCTATATCGAATATAATAACAAATTCTCACTTGTTTTGTATAAGAAGTCCATAAATCTTCATCTTCTTTCCAATACCATTCCCAATTTGTTGTGAATGGTGTACTGCTGGGCTCAAATACACACCCTCTTGTGGATACTCGGTGAACTTGACGGTTTAAGATCATCATTACGTCAAACCGTAGTTTTGCAGTACTAGGAGCCTCTTTTAGTTTACTTACAAATCGCTCACTTTATATGTGTATATAAAAAACATAATTAAAACATGTACAACCTTCTATTCATTACTGTTTATACAACCCTTAAATATACTTTTAAAATTTCTTTAAAAATACATGCAAAATGTGACAGAATCCGCATTTAAAAGGTAATAATTTAGCCTACTTTTAACAAAATAATATTGCATTATTATATACTTAATGATGTGTAACTTCCGGTATATCTGTAATTGAATTAAAAGAAATATTCAGAAGTAGTTTTATTTCGACAAAATCTTTCTAATTGCATGTACATGCCATGACTTCTACAACAAAATTGAACAGTTTGCACTAACAGAAAATAAATGGATTCTTCATTAAATATCAGTGGCAAAATCCTAATTATGAGGGTGTTGAAAAAGTAGAGTTTATGGCAAGTGTAGAGGATGTGTTTGCAGAATTAAAGAGGCAGTTAAACCCATTTCTCATCCATTCTTACATTAGGCAAGCTCCCAGTCTACAAGTATGGAAAAAAACGTGGATGGTGTGAATGTAGTCCTTTAAGTTGACTTATCAGAAAATGCAAGTTTCATTAACCAAAATGAAATCCTGTCAGCGCACTGAAGTCATTGGCCAGGCAACATTGTTTTACAGCTCATTCCTGGATTGATTCTGATAGCATTATAATTATATCAGATGACTTGGAACACACTAAGTTAAGTGTGTGCTTTTATGACATCAATTTTTTCTACTCTGAAGAAAAAATACCCATCGATTTCCAATACAGGTACTGATATCTTCTCTGATTGGGCTGGGTCTCTTTTTTCATATCTCTTTAAATGGGAAAACTCCTTTAATTTTAAGGTTGAACGTTCTTGCAACCAGTCATGGTAAAGAGGTGGTACATGAAACGTTCGCGTTATGTCCGTAGTGGCAAGGCTCAAGCCAATACATCTCATGAGTTTTATGAAGTTGCTGTTAGCAGAAACCCCATTATGAGCATATATTTCATATCTTCGAGGGAATAAACGGGAACAAATCATTGGAGTAACACTGGAACAGTACCAAATACACATATAGCAATTGATAGTTGTCGTTTAAGGGTAGTCCAAACCTCTAATTCAGATCAATTAAATGAAGTGTGGATTAAAGATGCTGATGTAGATAATGAGCGTGAAATTGAGTCTGAAATTGAAGCAGGGGAAGTAGGCCTACAGTCTGAAGAAGATCTGAATTCGATATTGGTGACTGGGTCGATGGTAATGAGTTTCCTGCTGAAGCAACCAAATTTTCAAATGACGAGGCTAGAGTTCATGTTATGCATAGGTCAGGCCAAAACTTGAGGACTCTACCTAAACAAGACAACATCTTCCTATTTAAAAGCATATGTGATCAAGACAATTGGGCTACCTATTGCCGTAGGTCACAGAGGGCAATTCACATTCACTAATGCTTGAAACGCCAAGTTTGGTAACTGATAAATGTTTAAAATACACAGAAGTTATTGCTAATTAGTTGTAAATTTTTGTGTCAATCGACACAATTTATTGTACGTCCGATACGGTTTCAATCATCCATTTTTTCTTAAGAAAATGTAAAATTACAAAAAGGTTTTTTGGCCCTCCACATCAACTAATTATTATTTAATAATTATCAGAAAATATTACTTATTAAAACCATTTTCACTGAGTACGTCCGACACGAGGCCATTTTGTCCCGATTCTCCATAACCATAGCAATCAAAAAATGTCTTCATTTTAAAATAAAATAGTAACTAGTATATTATATGCTTAACAGCAAAACAAAATGATACACCTACAAGTCTATGTTGAAAAACATCCCTAAAGTGTCTGAAATGCACGTCCGACATTATGGATTTGCCCTCCTGTACTTAACTTACTCAAATAAATTGGCTCAAGAACAAGCAGATTTATATACTAACATACCAGTCATTGATATTGGTAGAAGATTTGTTCACGTTGCAATAGTCTTTTTCAATATCCACCTGTTCGTCTGGGTCGAATAGCATCCATTTATTGCCGCTACATTTGCCGTTACTATACAGCCACATGTACGGTAGGTTATGGTGGATTTTATCACACAAATCACCGGAATGACAATAACCTCGAATATTATAAGAGCATATTTCAGTTTTTTTGGTAAGGTCGATGGAGCAATTGCTGTTATCGGCGGGATCTTGCACCACCTTAGCTACCTCAATCTTTAAAAGGCTTCGCACTGTGCGGATAATTTCGTCAACCGATTGGTCTGTTTTTATTCCAAACTGAACAAGAACATCTTTGCAGTTTTCACCCAATATATCGTGATTATAATTGCAATCATCTTCGTATTTACATGTCCCTTTTATGTGATACCTGTTAGAAAAAGAAATTGTAAAATCACCTGCATACAAAAAAAAACACAATGCTCTACCATCACCACCAGTTTTAATGTTTATTAATAATCCTACCTATCAAATTCAAAAGATATTTTGTTCAGACTGATTAAATTGTCAAATAATACTTTACTTCATTAAACCTTGTCCAGACTATTAAATAATATTTGACAAAAACATGTGACATGAATAAAAAAGGTAGGCCTAATGATGACATCACTTCATGCCCATATATAGGCACATCATATTACTATATATGGGCATACAACAGTTATTTGTCAAAAAAGTTTGATATTCTGGACAGAGCTTAATATGTTTGATGAAACATTGTTAATAGTCGAGTAGTCTGGCTTGCGTGAATTGTCCATATATGGGCACGATGATATTATACTATCATGTCCATATAAAATCATCTACTTATGTTCAATTGCAGAACGCCTACCACCAGTTAAAACAACTAATAGAAAAGATCGTAATGAATTATCGAATTGTACTATACCTGCAGAAGTGTAGGTATTGGCATTTTTTTCCGCCTTTACATCCCTCGTCTGTTTCGTAAAAACCGCAAAGCTTCAGCTTGGTATGGGCGATGGAGCGCTTACTGTCATCGGCGGTATCTTGCACCACCTCTACATCAACATTTAAACGGCTTCGCACTGTGCGGATAATTTCTTCAACCGATTGGTCTGTTTTTATTCCAAACTGAACAAGAACATCTTTGCAGTTTTCACCCAATATATCGTGATTATAATTGCAATCATCTTCGTATTTACATGTCCCTTTTATGTGATACCTGTTAGAAAAAGAAATTGTAAAAATCACCTGCATACCAAGAAAACACAGTGCTCCACTGTCACCAGTTCCATATTTGACTAAACTGTTAAATAATATTTTACATCATTGAACCCTGTCCAACCTTTCAAATTTTATTTGACAAAAACATGTGACATGCCTAAATATAGTCATGATGACATCACATCATGACCATATATAGGCATATCATGACTATATATGGGCATACAACATTTATTTGTCAAAGGAAATTTGATAGTCTTGACAATGGTCTGATAAAATATTGTTAATAGTCGAGTAGTCTGGCTTGGGTGAATTGTCCATATATGGGCACGATGATATTATACTATCATGTCCACATAAAATCATATACTTGTGCTCAATTGCGATGCTGTCACCAGTTAGAGCACTAAGAGAACTAACAGAAAAGATCGTAATGAATTATCTAATTGTACTATACCTGCAGAAGTGCAGGTATTGGCACATTTCTCCGCCTTTACATCCCTCGTCTGTGTCATAAAAACCGCAAAGCTTCAGCTTTCGTTCAAACTTCTCCTGCAGACGACTGTATAAATCAACTGGTCTGACTTCATCGAGAAACAGTCGTTGCAAGATTGCCAAATTGTGACTCGAATGTAAATCATGTGGAAATTTACACGGTTGCATTTTGCAGCTTCCTGAAATATAAAAAAAAAGTTCAGCAATTTAAATAAGTTGTAAAATAGGATAGCGATGATTATAATAATATATTGCCCGATGCAGCCACACTTAATAACCACAGGCCTATGTGTAGCTTATTTTTCACAAAACTTGTCAATATGACTGAAGCCTGGGAGGAAATTGTGCAGCTGACTCAATAGCTCGAATTATCCCATCAGTTTTTTGGACCTCAGATTTAGAAGGATAGACGCTGCAAAGAAACCAAATGGATTCATCGCCTAAAAGATAGAGGTATTGTTCATGATTACGCTTTTGCTAATAGTTCAACCTAGATGTACGTTTGACGCAGTACCATAGATAGTTTTATATACGCTAAAGATTCTGTTACCTTATATTTGAGACCATGTTATTGGAATCCATTATTGTCTTACCATTGATCTAGATATTGTTCATAATTATGCCTTCACTAGATTAATCCTATAGTTACATATATAAATGCATAGTATACTATAGTCTATCCTGCTTATTTATGTACGGAGAGTGATACTCATTACATAGGCTTCACGGTTACATTATTAATCATTTTAAGCGAACGCCCATTGATTTAAATAACTATTTATATCACCTTATCGTTTAAATACTTAGCTCTGTTCAATGTAAATCAGTTACGCTGATGAAGTCCTTAGGAAGAGGACGAAATATTCGTTAAAATAAATTATATTTATGTTCCGGAAATACATCAGCCCTCTTTTTATTGTATGTCTCCGGCAGACACTATCCTTTATAT